TTGGGATCTCACTGGATGAGGGTGGAGGTGGAGATGCCATAAATTTTGACATAGAGGTAAGTGTTCAAATGATACATTTGGCTTGATAGGTAAACATCCTGGGCTCTTATTTTGTGATTGGCTTAACATGTAAACATCCTGAGCCCTCATCTTGTGACATGTGATTGGCTCAAATGTTCTAGTGCAAATTTATCATCTACAAATATCTATAAATAGTTTCTACAACATACTGTACTTGTACATTACAGGTGAGTGAAGAAGCTGCAATTAATTGGGGAGAAGATGCTGATACGAGTGGTATTACATTGGGTTCAGACACTACAACCACTGATGATGGTGTTGCTAGGGGAGTTGATGCTCTCACTCTCCTAGACAACCTAGACACAAGGAATGCATTTGTTAATGACATATTAGAGGTAAGAATTTTGATGGTATTTAAATAATAGATTAATATTTCACAGTATTAAATACACGTTAGGCCTACAATTTCAAACAATTTTCATTATCATTATAATGACTACAATTTCTTTACTGTTTAGCTTGAATTTTTCTTAAGACAACGACTGAAAGAAATGAAAGGAGAAGCCGACATTCTCTCGGTCAATCAGTTTCAAGGAGCGCCCTCTATATGTCAAATGCAGACAGTTGATGATGTAAATTCCATGTTGATCTTGGTACAGGATGTCTTGAGTCATCTCCGTGACTCCACCGTACAACACTTCTTGATGATTAAAAGCTCACCAAGGTTGGGTTACTCTTTCAAGATGTTTCAATATAGAAATTCACTTAAAATTAATTGTTTCAAAAAATTAACATTCTTTGGATCATTATCATTCGACCAAATTTATTCTTTTTCAGGTATGTTGACCGTCTCGCAGACTCACTGAAGGAAAAACTTGTTTACCAAGAAAAAATGATTGCAAGTCAAAAAGCAGTTGTGGAGAAACGACAGGCTTCTTTGGAAGAACAGAGAAAACTGGAGCCCAAGCTGGACACTCTGATTATGAAAACAAGAGAGCTTAAGCAACAAGTAAGTTCATCTGGTGTCTATGTGATCAGTTTTTGTACCAGGTGTAATGTAAGTTTAAAAGTATTCACTGTGTGAAAAGTGGCATGCAGTTTATAGTTATCTATATCTTTGTACTGTAATAAAGTGAATTCGTTATTATTATTAATATTATTGTCATATTCATGTTCATAATCAACAGCGTTAATGCACTATTTCATTCCTTTTGCAGATTGAACAAGAAATTTCTAAAAAGTACAAGAACCGACCAGTTAACTTAATGGGAGCCGTCAACAATGTTTTATCGTAGAAAACAAAAGATGAAGATAATATATTTATTCAATTTTCCTGCAAACTTCCCCTCGACCCTGAAGTATAAAATGGCATATTAGTGGGAAATGTGAAAGTTGGAACCAATACTCTTTTATTCCACCTAAGAATATAAATAGTGATACAGTAGTCTATAAAACAATAGACAATATTTAAAAGAGAAATTCATATAAATTACCACACCACTTCATTATGTTAACTGATTATTGAAAAGCAAATAGAATTCTAAATAAATGAACAAAAATGAAATAATTTTTTTGGCAAGAAGCATCATTTTATTTGCATTCTACACATTATGACTTTGAACATTCACTAGAATATAATCAAATTCAAAAAACAGAAGTTTCATATAATTTACATGTTTTTCTACGATTTCCTGGTTATCTGTTCACTATTACATTATACAAACACACATGTAACAATCACCATGATCTGCATTATCAATAATCTTGCATATATTTTCTAAATAATAACTGAATAAAACAAGAAGGTATAATAAAATAGTTTATATACTGTAGTATCTTGCTAATGATTAAGGTTCTCCAATCTTACAGAATCATAAAAAACACCATTAAAAATTTTAAGAAGCAAGCTTTTGCTAGCTGTAGTTATAACTGCCTGTCAAAGCTAGCTAGCACAAGGTCATGTTTCGTTAATATTATAGATTAATATTAAGGATATTATTAAAGATTCATAATATCTGCAGA